AATCATCAGCTCTCTTGAGACTTATTCACTAACTTGAGAACAGTATGGGGAAATTGCCCCATGATTCAATTATCTCCCACAGGATCCCTCCCACAACACATGGGAATTATGGGAGCTACAATTTCAAGATGAGATTTGGGTGGGGACACAGTCAAACCACATCACCACCGTATCATACCCTTTGTTCAGAACAGTGACTGGAACACAACAGAATTCAATACATATTTCTTGAGTGAATGATTATTAAATCTGGGATGTCAGAAGAGATGAGCATAAATAAAAATCTAAAACTATGAAATTAAAATAGTGGTTCATTACATTTGCCACACCCACGCTACATTCTTGGCTAAGGAGCTAAGCAGAGATCCATTTATTTAACAAATATTTTTGAGCTTCTAATGTGCATATTACAAAATGCTAGAAAACACGAAAAACAAAGGGCCTATTTCCTTATTAGATTGTAAACAATCTGAAACCATCATAATCAAGCTATAATTTAGTTAGAGAAGGAAAAAAACATACAGATGGAAACAAAATACAAGGTATAGATTGAGATATCTCATGACGAGTTCCAAATTATTAAATAGACAGAGAATGCCATGGAAAATTGCTGAGAGCTGGAGATGGGATGGAAGTCTCCCTGGAGAAGGCTCTTGAGATGGACCTGGAGGAGTGGTAAATACAGAATTTGGCAAAGTGAGAAGCCTGAGAAGCAACAGGAATAAAAATGCAGAGGTGGGTGATGAGAATGGATAGGGGTTCTATGCTCAAAGGAGTGAGTGGCACGCAAAAAAACATGGAGAGACATTGGCTTTTGCAAGACAGCTACAATTGAAAAAGTGAATGGCAGAGTGGAGCTGCAGTATGGTGTCAGATCATCCTGCAGAATGAAGTACTTACTCCCCAGGGTCCAGGAGTGCTGAAGCAGTCTGTTCTTCTGGAATTGCATTAGCTAAAGAGAAATGCCTGGTTCAAAGCCCCACTCCCTCTCCTCACATGCCTCTTGTCCAGTTGGTTGAAGTAAGAGGATGAAGGCCCACAACCTTGCCCCAAATCAGAGCAACTCTGAAGAGTCATCCCTGGGTGTCCATGGGGCTGGCTGAGGCCTCTGTTGAGACTTCGACAGAGCCCAGCTTCTCCCTCTGCCTCACTGCACTTTCTGCCCTCCCTTCCACATGGGTTGGTCCCAAGTGTCTTCCCTAAAAAGCTTCAAGCATACTGATCACCACTTCAGAGTTTACTTCCCATGGAATCCAAACTGGTATCAATAAGCAGATCCATCATTTGTCAATTCCATTACTGAAGCACTTGATTTTCTTTAAACTGATGCGAGAAACAGATCTGAAATTCATAATTTGATTCTTTTTTGACAAAGAAAATAATTTCCCTGTAAATGTATCTTGCTTAAGATAGTACTGAATTAATCACAAAGAAGAAAAAGGAGAATGATAAGAAGAAAGAACTCAATGCTGAAATATTTTTTACAATGATTTCAAAAAATAGCAAATATTCACACATTTTAAGGAGAAATGCAGACTTTTTAAAAAAGGCACTAGTGTAAGTCATGTTTCACTTGGTCCAAACTTTTTTTTTTAGCCTTCTGCATTCCTGAAACTGATGCCAATACTTCTTTCAAAAGAAACAGGAAAAAATAACCAAATTAATTCTATGTAAGCCAGGCATCATCATATAAGATGAAAGTTTGTATTTGTTCAATACAATCTTGGAACTAAATTCAATTGTAGAACACAAGGGATATGAAACTCTAGAATCTAGCCTGCTCAACCCATCAAAGCCATTTCAAAGCTAATTGAAGTGATTTGTCTATGTTGTTACATACATTGTCTCCAAGTTTAAACAGGGCACACTTGGGAATTAATGCAGTTGATGGGTACTATTGATAAAAGCGTCCCTTACAAAAGCAAGGAGTAATTAAAGAAACACATATACATAATCAATGTTCAGAAAACCCCAATGCCTTCAAGAGTCATCCTTATGTTTTGAATGCAAACCACATAAGGGGTGGTTTTACTCTGGTAAAATTCTTTACAGAAGTCAATTAATATATTTAGGGCATAAGCTGATCACTAGCTGAGGACACAGGGACTATAATTTTTACTTACAGGAGCCACTGTGGGAGACAGGAAACTGGGTTAATATGAGAAGCCTTTGTTGATCATTGGTCTGTGCTAACACTCACTAACCACACTTCATTCTGCAACCCTAAAAGGCAATAGGCATAGTGTTTACAAGCATGCAATTGGAAGCAAAATTAGCTCACATCCCGGCTATCCACTTTCTTCTATCACATAAGATGGTTGTGAGAATTTAATGAGTTACCATATAAAAACTCTTGAAACTGTGCCTGGATTATAAAGACATCAGTTGTCCTTGAAAAACAAGTCCAATTTTAAAAATTTTGCCGTTTGAAATGAGTTTCTGTGTTTGTGTCATTTCCCAAGCAGGATGATCTCTCAGCATTACTCCTGGTAAAGTTAACTGGGACAGTCTGGTTGTCTCATAGTGGAATTAAGTAACCCAAGGGCCAGCCATCAGGCACTGGCTTGGCTCAACAGACAACCCAGCTCTTTATATCTTACAGCAATAAACGTTCCAGAGTATCACTTCTGGAGGCACAATGGAATAAATACATTGAATGAGCCTCTGGAGGAGAATAACAAAGACAGCTGGATAAAATATTAAAACTGTTTCTTTAAAGGCACTTTGGAGCTATCAAGAAAGGAAGAAATGCTCAGAGGCTTAATAAAAAATGAGAATGCTTTAACAGGACCTGGGACAAAATCTATCCTCTGCTGGTGGCATCTGCCCAGCTCCAGTACATTGAAGCCTCCAGAAGCACATGAGACTGAAAAGAAAGACTTGGCCTGGACCAAGCTGTCTGCAGGACTGGATCAGCACTTACTCACCTGTTTCAGGTATAGCATTTAAGGGAGCACCAAAAAACCCTGAACTTGAGATAAAGAATATTTTAATGTAATATTTTTTAAAATCAAAACTAACACAAAAAAATCCATGATGAACAAAATAGCAAAACTGTAAACATAAATAAACTGTTGCTACTTATTTGATTTGCAACCCAGCCAAGGACAGTAAAAGTATGAGTCAATGTCATTCACGAAAACAAATATATCAACACATCTTTCCAAAGATGCAAACACATCATTAAATAATGTCCGTTTGCAACAAACTGGTAATAAGAGAACTTTCATATTATTATGAAGGATCTATACAAAATACCCACACCAAGAATGGCAATTAATGGTAAAACGGTAAACAACTCCCTTCAATATCAAGACCAAGTCAAATGGCACACCACAGTTGGCTTTATTCAGCATTGTACAGGAGACATCAGCTAATGCTGTAGTACAAGAAAAAGAAATAAAATGTGTAAAACATAGAAGAGAAAATAAGCAAAGCTCATTATTACCAGATAATATCATTTGTATGCCAAAAATAATCAAATAACCAACAGGTAAATATTAAGATTAATAAATGTGTTTATCAAATTTTCAAGATTAAAACTAATACACATTACTTAAGATAATCTTATTTGTTGTGACACATCTCAGTGGCTTAACAAAAGAAGAATTTGTTTCTCAGTAGGTAAAACTAATTTAACGGGAAATAGGTAAGAGATGGGGCTCTACGCTATCAAGTTACTTGTGGGCCCGTTGATGGAGACACCATCCTCCTCAGCTTGTGACTTCCAAAGATGTTGTGAACATCCAACAACACACAGGGAGAGAGACTGGGGAACTGTAAAGGAGGCTCTTATGAGCCAGATAACATACCTAGGAATTAATATGACAAAATATGTGCAAGTGCATTTTGAGAAAATTTTCAGCTTTTTTGTAAGATCTTAATAAGCAGAGAGATATTCCATGTGCACAAATGGGAAATAAAACAATATCCTTAAGATGTCACATCTTCCCATATTAATCTATAGCTTTAAAGCAATTGAATCAAAATGCTAAAAGTGTTGTTTATGGTACCTGGAAAACTAATTCTAAAATGTATATGGAAAAGCAAAGCACTAGGAACAGCCAAAACACTCTTGAAGGAAAATAAGGCAAAGGGCCCTCCCCATCCCTACCAGGACTAATTCTAAAACTGTAGTAACTAAAGCAGTGTCGAACTGATATAGTGTTAGAAAAGGCAGACCAATGGAACAAAACAGAAAAGCCAGAAACAGTCCACACTTAAAAAAAAAAAAAAAAAGGAAAAAAAAGCTTGACTCATGACAAAGTGACAGACAGGCATTGAAGATCAGTAGGGGCAGGGGAACTATACAAAAAATGCTAGTGGGGAATTTGGTTATGTAATGGATTTTTAAATTCAGATTGCACTCCTATGTCCCACCATACATAAAAATTATCTATTCAAATTAGATAAAAATATTTCATTGTGAAGGGCAAAATGATACATTTTTGAGAAGACAGTGCATAAGAATATATCTCCCATTTTGGGGGGAAGTCAAGATACATGAAATGTTTTTATAAAGCTCAGAATCTTAGAGGAAACGATTAACAAATTCAACTTCTTTTTTATTAAGAAATTCTACTTGTCTGAGGGCTCAAAAGGAAGATGAGAAAACAAACTAAAAGAAGATACTTGATACACGTGTGAGATAAAAATTAGTATTTGAATATGTTAAGAACCCCTATAAATCAATATAAAAAGAGACAAACAACCCAATATAAAAATGAGTAAAAGACATGAACAGACATTTCATAGAACAGGAAACATAAATGGCCCCAAAACATTTTCCATTTTACTAATGGAAAATTCTCCATTAGTAATCAGGGAAATGCAATTTAAAACCACAATGAGGTATCATTTCACATGTGTTAGGTCAGCAAAAAATTTAAACACTGAACGAAAGGTAGTGTTTGGAGATTAAATTGGTATCCTCACTTTAGAAAACTATTATGTGTGACCTAGTAAAACCGAACATGTGCATCAGTGAAAGGTTGAGATAGAGATCTAAGCCCCAACTTACCAGTGACAACAGCAGCCAGGGGTGTGACAGAATCTGTCTATATCAGTCAGTCACACCAATGTCCGAATTTAATGTCTTCAAATCTGGGAAGAGAAGCGGGTTTGAGGTAAGAGTGCTCAGGCGCCAATCTTGTCTCCCACTACTTACTAACTGTGAGCCTTTGGCAAGACCCTTAACTTCTCTGTGTCTCAGTTTTACCATCTGTAAATGAGGACAATACGATTGAACCCTTAGTGAGTGCTATCATAATGATGAATTCTGTGAAAATTTCACTGGAGATGAGGATGAACGTATAAGAAGCTGGGGGTGGTCCAGCTTGGAACATCACCAACTCAGGACACTTAGTTTTATCCCTTAATATTTGGGCTTACCGTCTCCTCAGGACTGTTCTGTAGGCAGTGGGTGATGTCTCAGGTGAAAGCTAAGTTTGCTACATCTTTATTTCTTAGCTAGAATACCGTGTGTCCCTAACAATTTCACACAAGTCAGGAAAAAAAAACAAACAAAAAAAGAAAAACACGAATTCCATGTCCAGCTTCCAAGCATAAATGAAGAACATGAAGTCATTTGCTATTTTAAAAGCTAATTACTAGTAAAATACTTTCAGATTCACATTTCCTGTTAAATAAAATTCTGCCTTTGAAATGAAAAGTCTCTGGCAGAACTACTCAGCGACACCTTTCTTCCAAGCAGGGGTTTTCCTTTAGTACAGAACACACTGTTCCCTAGTCAGAAAAAGATTGATTTAATTTTAAAGAGGAGACAATGAAAGCATATAACTGTTAACACACATTTAAAAATATATGTGCCACATCACCAAAGAGACATAGATGTTGGTGAGCTCTTTTGTTTTTGTAAGTTTTGTGGTGAAGAAATAAAATATGTAAAGATATCCAGCTTAGTATCTGAAATTGAAAATAACAAAGAAGTAAAAGACTTCTTTGTTATTTTCCAAACAATCTGCCTTTGGACTACAAGTTGTAGGAGACTATATCAACAAATTTCAGCTCATTTGGAAAAAGACTCCAATTGGTTCAATGACTCAATATTTTTAACACTGATACTTTTCCTATATGTATACTATCAGTTCTTCTCAAAAAGCTAGATTAGTTAGAGAATAAGAAGGAAAATGAAGAAAAAAGATCATCTCCAGCTTGTACAGACCAAATTATAAACATTACTTCACTAAGTTGAATATATTGAGTTTAAGCATATATTTCTTCAGCTTCGAATGTCGGTTTCCCTACAAAATTGTACAAACTGTTAAATTCTTACAAATCATTTGCTGTCAAGAAATTTTTAAAAAACCATTCTCTTCTTTTCTCTCCTTCCCAGTAAAAAAAGGTGGAAAGAATAGTCCTCTCCTGCCCTCTCCATTTCCTCATCTCTGGTTTACTCCTTTCATTTTGGAAAAGTATTATACAATGTTTAAGATCTAAAAAGGTACAGAGGCCAGGCATGGTGGCTCATCTCTGTAATTACAGCAGTTTGGGAGGCTGATGCAGGTGGATCACTTGAGGTCAGGAGTGGAGACCAGCCTGGCCAACATAGTGAAACCTGTCTCCACTAAAAATTAAAAAAATTACCCAAGTCTGATGGCAGTATCTGTAATCCCAGCCACTCAGGGGTCTGAGGCAGGAGAATCACTTGAACCCAGGAAGCGGAAGTTGCAGTGAGCCAAGATGGTGCCACTGCAACCTGGGTGACAGAATGAGACTCCATCTTAAATAAATAATTAAATTAAATTAAATTAAAAGATATAAATAGAGAATACAACAACAAATACTCATCTACCTACCTCCAAGCTTAATAAGCAACATATTTACAACATAGTTGAAACTTTCTGTGAATGCTTCCAGATCAGATAACTCTCCTTCTTGAATTTGGGCTATACCATTCCCAAGCCTCTCTTTATAATCTTATTATTTATGTATCCTTAAACCACATGAAATATTGTTTGAATTTGAATTTGATATAAATGATGTCATAAGTTATGTATTCCTCTGCAACTTATTTGACTCACTCAGCATTATGTGTGTGAGAATCATCTATGACGTGCCTAGAGTTAATGTTCATTAATTTTCACTGCTGTATAGCATTCCACTGTATGAAGATGCCATAACATGGTCTAGATTAGTGACTACTATAAACAGTAATTTACTTCTGTGAATGGACATTAGTTATCTTCAGATTTTTATGCCACATTCTCTCCAATGTTTGATACAGTCTACTTACCTTACCTTTTTGCCAAGTCATTTAATTTGTATATTTCTCATTACTGGTATTAGTAAGCCTCTTTTTTTGTGATAAGTTTCTGGATTTTTAAGTTTTCTCTCCTGAAAATTGTTCCACCTGTCAATATTTTTGAAAGAGAGGTTTTTTGTTTTGTTTTTTTACTTTTAACATTGTCAAATTTATCGAGCCTTTTATTTATGATTTAATAAATTCTTCTTTACCCCAAGATCATAAAGATATCTTCTTATATTTTTCTTCTATAGCAATTTTGCCTTTCAAATTATTCCACTAAGGATTGATTTTTGTATATAAAGAGCAGTAGGGATCCAATTTCATTTTGTTTTTCCCTGGAGGACAGTGAAATGCCCCAGAACCATTTATTGAATAGCGTATCTTGTGTCCACTGGTCTGCAATACCCTTTCAGACATAAATCAGTTTTCTATATATGTGTAGGCTTCCTACACCTTCCTTCGGGAATGAAATTTCTTATTTTTAAAAATTGAATTGAATTGAATCCCTTAGCCGTTGTTGCTAGAAGGGTCAGTGGCAGTAATCTTTCTTGGAAATGTATGAAAATATTTGCCTTTTCTCGAATGACATTTAAGTGGATATACAACCTAGTTTCCCCCAGCATTTTGAAGATATCGCATTGTCTTCTGATATCTATGATCACAGAGATGGTGCATGAGAAGTCAACCCTTGATTTGACTTGTTCCTTTATACATGATCTCTCTTGCCTTCTCTAGCTTTGAACTTTTTTCCCTTTATCTTAGATGTTCTTCAATTTTAGTATAAAGTTTCTAGATGCAGATTTTTTTAAAATTTCTCCTGCATGACTTTTCCAATTTAGGATTATTTTTGTTTAACTTTTAAAAAGTTTTAATCATTCTTTTTATTATTGTTTCCCACAAGGCTCTTTATTTTCTCTTTCCAGATGTTATATTAGGTATATATTGTCTCTTCTCATGTGGTTACCATTTCTCTTCTTTCTGCTTTTCATATTTTCCCTCTCCTTGTGTCTTTGTGATGCATTCTGTATAGTTTCATCAGATATACTTCACATTTCTCCAATTTTCTTTTCATCTGCATCCACTCTTGTTTAATCTGTCTATTGATCTTTATTTTAACAACTGTGTCTTTCATTGTTTAAAATATCTGTATGCTTCATTTTTATAAATCTGTGTGTTCCTTTTTCCCCAAAATTAAGTCCTGCTATTGAATTAGGAATCTTACTCCTTATTTTCACCCTTTGAACAATTTAAATGTCTATTTAAAAGTCTCTGAGGTACTGCACTATTCTGTTTTAAAGTGTCTCTCCAGTGCAAGTAAGTCTCCTCAGTGCTTTGAGTTTTTTCCTCTGAGCTTGTCTCAGCACCACTGTCTACTGTGGCATCTCTGAGTTCTGCATTCAGGAGATTCTATTCCTGCCCATCATCCAGGGCAGATGAAGCAAATCTAGCATCTTTTTCAGGCCAGTCAGTGAAGATTTTTTGGGTCACTGACTAGATAGCCCATTTGTTGGTCTTGACTTCCCACTAGACAGGGAAATTATAGACTTGACTTTGGCCCTCAGTGGGTTTCATAATCCTGTTTACTAAAATATGTTAGTTTTGATACAACCTGAGCAGGATTTGCCCCGCTTCCTGCCAACAAAACCCTTGTCCCCACCTCAAGTAGATCTGAGCCAAAAACCTCTATAGAGTAAGAAGACCAGATATAAGAAGGACACTAAGAACTGAGCTGGCCTCCCTGTTAATCTGTTACAACCTCATCAGAGTAGAATTCCAGCTGAATTCTAAACTAAACAAAAACTTACTAAAATTCAGATCAAGGCAACCTTTCCTAGTACATTCTGTTACAAGTCCAAATTGCCTTATATAGCATTTGAGACTTACTCTATACATAGGCTCCATCTACGTTTATCAACTACTTCTCATATCTCCAAACATTGCTAACACCAGCTACACAGTATTATTCAATATCTTTTAAAGTATCCTTCATGCTTTTCTACTTTTGTGTCTAGGTTTCCCTTGTTCCTTCTACCTAGAAGATCCTCTTCTTCCTCTTTAAGCTCCCTGAAATCTTTATTACTATTATTATTATTATTATTACTGAAATGGGGTCACCCTCTGTCACCCAGGCTGGAGTGCAGTGGTGCAATCTCAGATCACTGCAACCTCCAACTCCCAGGTTTAAGTGATTCTCTTGTCTCAGCCTCCTGAGTAGCTGGGATTATAGGCATACAACAAAACACCCAGCTAATTTTTGGATTTCAGTAGAGACGGGGTTTCACCATGTTGGCCAGGCTAGTATTGAACTCCTGACCTCAGGTGATCTGCTCACCTCAGCCTTCCAAGATTATGCTTCTCCATTATTAAAAATCCACATTTCAAGGTCCAAATTCTTCCCCAAATCTTCCGAAATCCCTAAATTGAAATTAGTATCCCCTTTCACTGTTCTTCTGTAATTTTCTTTGTACTTCTATTTTAATATTTATCATTATCTCTCTTAGATTGATAACTACAACTTTGTTTCTCCCACTAGATTGTGAATATTTTTTATCTTATTAGCTAACACATATTACAGTGCCTTCTGTATCAAAGATCGGCATAGACATGTGTTGCATCAATTGGAGGTGAGATGAAAACGAACTACAGAAAACTTCTTGCTCAGGTCTCAATTTTCACTGTTTCATTTTATATTTGTATTTAAACCAATAGCTGGGTTTTGTCATGAGGCCAAGCAGCAAGCCGAAAAGGAATGAAACCTTGAATTTCCTTTGCAATTTTGAAGAGGAAATCCACAGGTGACAAAGGAAAGAGGAGGTAAAGGCTACAAAGGTTTGCG